GTCGAAGCTATAGTAGAAGTAGATCCAGAAGTAGTTCTTACGGTCATCGCAGTCGATCCAGGTATGGATTGTGTTTCCATTTGACTCAGAAATAAATGTACTTTATAAACAACTCTTACTGTAACGATACCCTTTTATTCGTGGTAGTTAAATTCATGTCATTTTAGCAAGTAATATCAAGGCAAACTTAACACAAGAGTCTTCCAGAAGTCAAAAATAAGCAAATTACCCTGAAAAGGGGGAGGGGTTTAGTATTAAATATTCTGTGTGAATTATTAATAAAAACACTTTGTTTTCAAAAGTATTGGCAAAACAAGCTGTTTATTTAACGTGCAGTTTGTAGGGGAAAACAAAGCTTTAAATGCTTAATAAGTATTTTCTAGGTAAATTGAGTTTATTCTTAATGTTGTTTTGAAGATGCTTGCATTTAAACTTTAAAATAGAAATTTATCCTGTTTTTTGAATCGTTCAAGAGTAATCTTCATATAGCAACTCATTTTTATATGAAATGTCTTTAAAGCACTCATTTACAAATTAATGACCTCTTAGTTACGGAACTGTAAATCTACAATGACTGTTTTCTGTATTTATTAAAGTAGGTCATACAGTTACGATAGTTACTACAGCAGAAGTCGAAGTAGGAGTAAGAGGAGTGACAGCTATCGAAGATCTAGAAGCTACGACAGACGATCCAGGTATATTGTTTCCTATCATGATTCTATGCAAAAGAATTTAAGTATATACCTGACCTTACAAAGACTAATATTCTTCCCCAAGAACAAAAACATATTTTTACCAAAAAGTGTAAATAAAAGTAAATCAAGTGTTTTGAGTGAGGGTGGCTAAATTGGGACATCTGGAAGCTAAACTGGGTGGAAGTGTGGAAAGAAAGTGTGGAAGAATCTGAGAGAAGAAAGATTTGAGAAGATATGAACGCGTTACCCTCTTTTTATTCACTTTATTGTGTAGGTATCCACATAAGTTCCAAATAAGCACTTTCTAGATATGGTTCAGAAGAACTTTTATCTGCAAATCTATTGCTTTGCTGATATCACTCTTTATACTTTTTCCCATAGTATAAACTTATCCTTAGCTTATCCTACCTAATACAGAGGAGCTACCACAGCTGTCGGTGGACATGTTTTACTGTTAATTTTCATGCTCTGCTGTCCTCATATTCTTCTTTTCACAACTTTGTACCGACTCAAAGGACTTCACTCATTTCCCATCTAGTTCCAACAGTAAAACAGCTTTCATCGTGTGTTTGAGAGGAAATTGGGATTAATGGAATATGTGGGAACAGACATACAAAATCACTACTTTAAGATAAGCTCTGAAGAACAGTGCTGAGTTATGGTATGCTCATCCTGCATCCAGAAGACTGTCCTTACAGGCATGAGATGAGATAATTTCAAATGAAAGTTTATTCTGCATAATCTCAATATACCCTGTGACTTGTCTGAAACTTCTTGGAGTGTATGCTGATGCTTGGCCAGGTGCTGAGCTCGAGATTCTTTTTGTCTGGATAAGCAAACTCATTTTCTTTTATTTCTAGTCTCCACACGTACTCATGGGCTTCTGTTTGTCTGAAGCCTTCTTGAATAGATACTTCTTCATGCTAAGAATTTCAATATATAAAATAAGGAGCTGTGGGATCATTTCAGAAGCACTTGCAATATAAAATTATATTTTTAGAATTTATTTTTGAATTAGCTTTAGTATTTACCAAAACTCAATGATATGGCTGAAGCTGTATGGAGGAAATCAAGGAATCTTGTGGCTATTGTCAGAGTCTGTTTCATTTGCACAGGGATTTTGTCATGTAAATATAATTATTTTAAATGTGTGTGTCCTTTAATACATATTTCAGTTACATAACATGATCCTATAAAAGAGATTCTCTTGTTTCATATGTCTGTCCTTTGATTTTTTTTTTGATTAAAATTTTGAATTTAAAGCACAAAATACAATTTTGAGGCATTCTGATTTTTCTTTGCAGATCTTACGGGTCTGACAGCGAAAGCGATCGCAGTTACTCTAACAATCGAAGTCCCAGTGAAAGCAGCAGATACAGCTGAAAACGTTCCTGTGACGGTGCAAAGTACATTTAAGAACGTTGTCAGTGCCGTGCAAAAACTAAACAAAAACCCTGTTTTGACAGTGCCGCAGGTAAAGTTGAAGGGTGTTTACTGAGTGAGCTGAAACTTTACCCTTTAGCAGCAAACTCATTGACGGCCGTAAACCTACAGGGGAGAAGTCCTGAGCTCAGCTGTCGGATGTTACTTGTACAAAATAGGAAAAACCTCTGTTTCCTTGAATGGGATTTTCCAAGCCATGGATGACCCTGGTGTGAATTTGCTGACGCTGCTTTTCTGGCTGCAGCAGTCTGTACTGTCTAGAACTATGTTTATATAAACACCATAGGGCTTTCTGCCTATTACTACTAAATATATGCTAGCAACTGTAAAACTGTGAAGAAAACTTCTTATAAAGGCTGCCATTTCTAGTTTGTTAAACTGCTTTTTCTTTTTAACGCTGGAAGATGGGTTCAATTGCCATCTTGTTTACTGTCTGTAACGTTATGTAATGTATATATCCAGCAGTTAGGTGATTAAAGCAAAGACTGCCACTCTGTCTTAATTCTTAATGGACTGGGATATTACAGAAGTCTGCTGAAAAGGCTGAGATTACTACGCACCAAAGCAGTGAGAAAGTGTAATGAGTCAGTTTGGATCTTAATATCCAACTTGTCTAAACTCAGTTATTTTAAGGTGAATTTTGTGATAAATAACAATGTTCTTAAAAGTTTAAAAAGCGTTCCTAAACAGTCCTCTTTCAGTTCATATTACAGTGCTTGGCAAGCTTCCTTAGTTTGAGGTTGACTTGTAAACTGTTGAATATATCATGAGTTTGTTCAAAACACTTTCTAAACATTTAAGTAAAAATGATATTTGAGAAAATAAACCATAATGGTTCCTATATAAAATGTCTGTAATTTCATCCGATTTGCCATAGGGAATATTGTTGTGCAGGTATTGAGTTATATATTATTAAAGTGATACATGTATAAAAATACTGACATGCCTAATAAAAAGCATGGGCAGTAATTTCAAAGTAAATTTTAGTACCAAAAACAATTCCACGCTGCAGATGAATGGTTTATAAAAGTGTGGTTTTAAAGCTGAAGAACATTGACTAATTTTTGCAAAATTTTGATTCATTTGTTTTAAAACCTTTTTTTTTTTTTTTCAATGTTTAGAAATATGTATCCTAAGAAACTTTTTTTTTTTTCCTCATGATGTGATATGCCCTAGAAATTGGGGTCTACAGTTTGGTTGAAAAAACAGACTAACGTAACTATTAGAGCTAATGACTATGGTTGTATTTTCATAGCTTTCATTGCTGACTTTCTGTAATATCTTCAGATGCTTTAGGTTTTATTGGGACCTGAAAAGTAAGTGGTAACTTTTTTGTTTCAGCATCAATTTATACTGTTATTTTGACTGAATTAAACTACCAAAAGTTAGGTTTTGGTGCCCTTCTGAAACATGCAAAGAAAGTTGAAAATAAATTTTGGGGAAGTTAAGGATGCCCTATTTCTGTGTCACTGAAAAATTAAATAAGACGTTTGTACACAGGGTCCTTAAACAGACATAACTGTCAGCTGGTTATTCCACTTTCCAAAAGAAACCAAATAGAGGATCTCTCTCTGCTCCTTCTGGGCTTAAACCCTTTCTTACCCTTCTTGTAACTTCATGAAAAATCCCTTTCTTACTCCTTTTGTAATTTAATGAAAAATTGTGCGCATGTCGTCCCTTGAAATCACTATTTTGTAAATTTCTTATAAATGTACTTAATGTTAAAAAGCATTACACAAGTCAGTATGCATTTATAGACTCTTTCTAACAGGGCAACAAGCGTTTCAAAGTATTGAATAAATATTCCCTTGCTAACTCCAGATAATGTTTGTTGCAGTTTCATAGTTTTAATGGCAATTTTTTTTAAGTCTGAAAAATGATAGTGAAATAGAAATGCTCTTAATAACTGTAGCTGTCCAAACTTTTATGACTATGTTACCAATGCCTGTTTCATATCTTGAATTACAAGCTTTATAAAGGAATTTATTCTGGTAGATGCATTGTGGGAGGGAGTAATTTTTACTTAGTAAAATTATGTTAAATTGTTCTTCAGGTAGAAGATGCACCACTGAGTGGGTTTTCTAATGTTGGTCTATGGTTTTTTTGCAATTTTGTTATTCCAAAATAGCTGCTGTTTGTAAAATAAACTTTTGTATATATCTGCAAATGCTGTTTTCTCTACCTTTGGCAAAATCCCTTACTATCTGAGAGAAATGTACAAAAAATGGAAAATATACCTCAAGTTTCTTATCCACTTTTGTCCCTTGCAAGACTACGAGTTGTCCTTCCTTCTCCTGACCCACATAGAAAATAATTCCTCCGCACGACTCTGCACGAGCTTTACATAGTAGTCACAGGAGGAACAAATATTTTGAAGTTTCCAAGTGATTTGAGGTCTCACCATTTCCTCAAGATACATAGGAGTCCTACACTTTATAAAAAGATATCCTTAACAGAGCCTTGCAGAAACCTCTAAATGGGCTCAGTTTAACTGCTTGGTTAAATACTCTTTTCTCAAATACACAGTCCCACATCATTTCCGTAGCGTGTTGGAAACGGGGTGTTAGTTCAAGCCAGCAGATGCAACGGCTCAGCAAACTAATCCATTAGTCTGTTGGGCTTTCTGGTCCAGAAAAGCTGGGTTTCATTGGAAATATTGGCTTTGTCCTAATGCAGAGGCTAATTGCCGTGGTCTGGGGTGAAAAAAAAAAAATGGATTTTTCTTAATGGCAAGGACAAGCAGTGGCATTTCCTTGTGCTCCTTTAACCTAATCCAGCTAACATGGCATTTTCTGATCCTTAGGGCATTTTCACTGAGGAGTCACAGGGGACATGGAGGCAGGAAAAAGAAGGAACTAAAGGAAGGAGCTGCAGTAATGAAAAGCGTGCAGATGGAAATGCAAACGGTAATCCAAGCCAGGGCAGGGCTAAATCCCTCCACGAGTTTTGGGGGGAAGGTGGTGCACAAAACACTGCAAGAAATGTTAAGCCAACCTCTGCGCTGTAGTATAAAACACAGCTTCTGTTTTCCCCATCTTTAGACAAGCGCAGTCTGAATTTGTGGCTCTTAACCTATTTCCTGCCAGTTAATAGGACATGCTAGCGCTTTTTTTCCACAAGATTAATATTTTCCTGATAGTATAGCACTAACCAAATTGAATGTCAGGTAGGTTTATTGGTACATATGTACAGTTAATTCCTTAAACTTTAATAGCTGATCTCTGCAAAGAAGCACTGCTGCAGTTCCCTCCACTCTGCAGAAACCTGCCTAAAACAAGTATTTAGGATGCTTTCAACAGCTATTCTATAACAGGATGCCATTCCTAAAAGAAACTTTTAGGAAGACTAAAGTCTTCCTTCTGCATAAATTCAGATTAGACCACATGCTTAAAACCCCCTTTTACCTTAAAATATATGATATTGCTTTTCAGGCTTGAAACGTGATATTCTGTGCAGCGTGAGGGCAGCATCTTTATGGTATGGATGTATCTCTGGTGCTAAATGTCTAATTTGGCCTCCTGTCCCTCGGTGCCAGGAGTTAGACAGCAAAATAGCTGGGCAGGATACCAGGTGCTGTGGCCCTGCTGTTTTAGGGATTGAGCTGTCACCTTGAGTTGGTGCAGGAGTATCCATACTCGGCTTTAGTGCACATAGTGTTAAAAACGGTAGCTGCTACACGGTTATGTATTAATATTAGTGCCAATTTCTGTAAATATTAAGATGTATAATGGGTATTTAAAAAAAAAAACCAAAAGGAGGGCTTGTCTAAATATGTGTCTTCTCAGTTGTTTTGTTAGACTGTGCAGGACGGAGTATCCAGAACACTTTTTTGATGTAGCTCTGTACAGCCTGCGTGCTGCCCCCAGCTGCAGGTAAGTGATTTCCTCCTAACTCGTCCAGAACAGGTAAATAACAAAGGATTTGCTTGCATTTAAGGGTGTCTATCACATGAACAACTGCTTCCTATAAAATGCACGCTTAAAGAGCAACAACATAAATGCAGTTTCCCTAAGACACCCGCACGCGCAGAGCTTGTGCTCCTCCTGTCTCGCTTGTAAACCAGGGCTGTTTGCGTGTCCTCGCACCGGAGGGTAGTAAGGAGCATTTGAAGGGCTCTTTCTGAAGATCACCACAGATCTGACAGTGTATTAAATTTCTGTTGATGGCTCTGAGCGCTTCATCACCGTCGCGCGCGCAGTCTGCAGAGCGGAGCAGATGACCTTGAGCTGCACTGTGGAATCCATCTGGTGTGATTTCCAAGCCGAGCACAGCCCGGGATTTAAAGCACGTGGAAGATAAAAGCTTTGCGTGCTCCACCCCTGCTTAACATCTGTATAAATATTTGCATACATACATATATATCTATGAGGTTGGGAAACAGTAATGACTTTCCACCTGGTGTTAAAATACTCTAGCTACTTAACTGGAACTTAAAACTTCAAATTTGTAGAAACACTTAAAGGGAGCGAGGCTTGAATATTGCCCTTAGTAATTTTTTGAAGCAGAAAGGATTGCATGCCAGAAATCAGACAGGCCCGGGCAGTGGGGGTTTTATTTATGTATTTATTTATTTATTTTACTGAAGGTAATATTTCAGTCACAGAGGATGTGGTGAGAGCTTGGGGGGGGATTAATTTGATATTCTTAATTAATATTTCTACTGTGGTGTGTGTCTGTCCTTGACAGAGCGTGATGCTATTCAAGGATACAGACAACAAATGCCCTTACCTAAAGCCTGGGCTAGGATGGACAGGGTTGCTCACTGTGCAGCTTGCAGGCAGGCAGCTACTTTGTAATTACATCCTAGCCCTGGCCATTAGTTGGAAAATCCTTAAATTCCTTAATTCTTGGCTTTTTTTTAACCACTGTCCTTCCTCTTGACCTTTCTTTTGTTGCAGGTCACTGTGCACCCTCTGACGAGAGGATAAGGAAGAGCCTTTCCAAAATGCCAGCACCTTTTTGGAGCTAAGAGGAGAAAATGAAAAGTATGAGGACTGTTTGATCAGGGAGAATATTGTCCAAAGCAAATGCCACGCGGATCCAGGGCAGCACAGGTGACTGCATTGACCGGCTTCAATATCAGAAAGGGAGCAAGTTGCAGGGAATTTTGCAGGTGAACCATTGTGTTTAATAGCGGCTTTATAGACTTATTTTTAACTTTGATGCTCCTGAGGTCTGCAGTATTCTCTATCGACAGGTTTCACCATTTAATTAAGTAACACAAGCGGGGAGGGAATCATTTTTGCTTTAATGTGCAGTTTGGTAATATCCTTGTGTCTCCAAAGTTCTCATTTTGAGAGGAATAGCGAATAATCATTCCCTGGTCACTTCATTTCACTTATTTTCAATATCTTCCCCATAGGGACCAATCAGGCCCTTATTGCATCCAGCGACTGCTGCTGCCCAGGGGTCCTTTCCATTAGCTGCTAATATCTGCCCTATTCGTTATCATAAAGGTAAGAGAACAGCCGTGGGGCTGGAAGCAGCAATTGCTGTTTGGTGCTAAGGATTGGACCTGATTTGGGGCATATGACTGCCAGGTTTATCTCCTACCCCCTTGACGTTGCTAGCTATTACATCTTAATATGTAATAATTATAACATTTACTGCATTATGTGATGGTGATAATAACAGACAGCCATGAACTGGCTGTTTATTCTATGTAAACTCAGTGGCTGGATAGGGATGGACTTTGGCCCGTGCTCTGAAGCTCTCTGTTGACCTTGGGCCTTGCCTCTTCTTGAAAGATTAAATCTCTGGGACCCACTCATTGCACAGAGTCGAATGAAGAAACATCAAATATTCGATGTGCTGGCCTCTGTGGCAGCGCCTGTGGGAGAAACTGCAAAAATAAGTATTTTTCAACATCTGCCTGAGCTACCCATACTGGAGGGAATAAACAAAAAAAAGGGGGGGATGCCCAAGCTAAAGGTCCTTTGCTGTCACATAAGCCCTGCAGTTAAGAGTGATGTCTTTCCTTTACTACCTTGAATACTTAGCAGATTGGTACTTGCTCTTATCCGCACCAAGCAGCCTTGGGCTTTGGGATTTCTCCGGCGCTTCCTCCATCTCCGAAGGTTCTTCTGCTCCATGGGAGCCTGCGGGTGGACGGAGACACTTCCCGGCGTCAAGGGGAGCCCCGGCCTCGCTCCCTGCGTCTCGAGGCCAGCGTTCCTGTTTACACATCCCCATGTTTGGTTTGCAGCGCCCTCCCCCTGCAGCCTTCCCGCTCGCTCCCCGCACCGCATGGGGCAGTTCGGGGCTCCTTACACAAGCAGCGAGTTTTCCTTTGTTTTCACCAAATTGCAGCCTATTTTTTCCCCCTCTTTTTCTTTTCTCCAGGCTATTTCTCTACAGTGTCAAGCTTGTTTTGAAGCATCAGCCCATCCTCCAAAGGCCTTGAAGTCCCTCCCGCCTCGGTATCATTTGCAGCTGTAATAAGCAAATTTTTTCTATTCATGCAAGTAATTAATAAAAAAATATTTTGAGCAGTGCCAGGCCTGGGACAGGTCCCCGGGGACTCCGGGGCTCTGTATCCCTGCCGTTTCTTGGAGAATCGCAAATAACTGCTCCAAGTAACGTCCCCTGCTTGCAGCACGGCTCGATGCCGCCTTCGTGCCATCCGTCTCCCGCCGCATTCCCTCTTCCCAAGCGCGCCGGCGGCGCTGGGCAGCGGGATGAGTGTTGTGGCCGGGCAATGCGCGTGTTTTAGCTCCGTCTCCTCTCGCCAGCTCTCATTCTCACTAAGCTGCAGAGGCCCCGGGTGCTCCCAGCCCTGCTCGCGGTTGGGCCCCTTGGCTCAAAAGTTACCTGGGAAAAGGGTCTGTCAGGTGAGGAGACAGACGGACAGAGACGATGTGATCTCATAGGCCTCATCTTCTTAGGCAAGCAGTCTTTTCAAGATAAATAAATAAGTAAATAAATAAACAGTCCTATCTTCATTTTAATCCTAACTTGAGTTAGTTGAACTCAGGCTCCTGCACATTGCAGCGTATAAAACCTTAACCAAAGGTGCCTATTAGGTGTTTTCTGCACAGGCCCTTAAAGCTCTGGTCTAATCCCCTTGAAACTTCATCTTTGCAAAGCTGACAGAGAGGATGCGACCCCTGAGCTGTTTGCTCCAAGACCCCTTCTCCAGCCTCCATTCGTCCTGGTGACCTCTCCTGCTGTGGCATCCTCCTCCCTGAAGACATCAGCACAAAACACACCGCTCCAGTAGCCCCTAGGGCTTCCTTTCAGCTCTCCCATAAGGCCTTCTCTTTCTGTTTCACCTTCTCACACAATATTCCTGCTTGGGAAATTGGTGGCTTTGACCATCAGATTTGGCAGGTAAATGAGGCAAGTTAATGCTGCTCTTGTAACGGGTGAGGAGGTGGTAATGCCTCCTGCTCCAGGGGTCTCAGAGGGTGAAGAGCCACTGAAACCACTTCTAAGCACACACGTGTCCTCCCAGGAGCAAAGCAGCCCCCATGTCTTCACAAGGAGAGCCACAACACACTGCAAAGCACCCTGGACTGCCACAGTTGTAATGAACTCTAATGAAATTAGAAAAGCCCAAAGCTATTGGAGCACCTGGGAGCAACGGGAGAAAAACCTGCCACCTCTGCTGCTCCTAGTTGGTATGATGGGCTCCAAGTGACTCCTGCAGCTCTCCTGCCCTTTTCCCTCTTCCCTGCTGCTCAGACTTTATTCTGACTTGCTGCATTCTCCAGGACTTTGTTTCCTGAAGAGAAACTCTTATTTAGGATGAAGTTGCCCAACCTCCCAGAGGACTCTCTGGAATATAAATGCACCTCTGGGTAGTTCTGTTCCTGCAATGCTTAATCTTGATAATTATTTCAATCAAAATTCCAATTTATAACTTCCTGACTAATGAAATGCTGTTCCTTACCACGTTACCCTTTGATATGTAAAGATGCCTTTGAACTGCCAGCCCCTTGCTGGGAAGGCACACAGCTCTAACACCTGCCTTGTCAACAGGCCGGGCCGTCGCTGAGATGCCCATGTGGCTCTTCTGGGGGTGACACCTCAACGTTCCCGAGCTGTCACAGAGCCCACGAGCTTGTACGATGACCCACTCCATGAACGAACCTTTCCACAATGGATTGGATCAGGAACGACACTCATTGCCAGCTCCCGATGAAGTCCTAGTGTGAGCAGCAGCAAACCAAGCACATCTCAACGGGTCTGGTTCAATAGGCTCCATTTTTTCATTTTTAGTGCCCTGCTGGGTTTAGCTAATAGTTTATCTAGCCTAAAATCCTGGTTTCCAGCTGCAAGAGGAGGAGATCTCTAGAGGTCCCTTGCAACTTCAACCATTCTGTGAGATTCACAGAGGACGTGCAAATCCATCATCTTTGGTTCATTCCTCTCTATTCTGCCAGCACCACAAATTGTGCTATGAGCATTAGTGGCACCAACCTGTCCGATCCCTCTGCCACGTGTTGGACCTCAGTTTGTCCAGCACCTTCTTGAAGGAGATTCAGCTGTGCTCTCGCTAAGCCCCCTGCACTAAGCCCTACCTTGTGCTTCCAGGCTTTTAACCAACTTTCACGCAATAAAAAGACCTCTTCTCTGATCTTCTGGCTACGTAGTTTCCCTAAGAATCTTGTCAAGGGCCTTTTAAAAAACCAAGTATTTATAAAATTCTCAGGCTGTCCCACCTAGAACACAGAATCCACTTTTTTTTTCTCTTCTCATGAAAAGAAAGGTTCGATTTTATCGAATTCACATTAGTCTAGAGCCCTGAACATAACAACAGTTAAATGATTCATGCAGGAAGCTAGTGGCCAGCAGGGTCCAAGGCCTGCTTGGGAAAATAACAGCATTTCTGTCCCCAAAAGGATATTGAACCAAGTGACCTCTGGAGACCCCTTCCCACATATTTTGCCATTATATGATTTCATAGGAGGAAAAAAGAAAGGGAGGAAAAAAGCTAGATATTTTGCATGAAATTAGGGTGGGGTGCCATTTAGAACTGGCCTTCTTTGCCATGTAGATTATCCCATTAAGGTACTGCAAGCTTAGGGGCTTAAAGAGAATTCCCTAATCTTGGTATCATCACGCAGGAGAGAAAACCCAATTATTCCAAACTTTCCAGACAACAGAAGCTGGAATCTAATAAAAGCCCCTCTGAGAATTAAAACGTGGCCATCGTCGGTTCCAGCAGCTACCTGCTGGTGGACAAATCACCACGGACATGAGAAACAAGGAGAATTATGAAACCAGGAGCAGGGAGGTCCAGCTTCCCTGGCATTCCCATTCAGTCCGTGCAGCCAAAAACAAGGCCCTTAGTCGCGACTCGGATCCCACTTCCCTTGTAGTCCTCTTGTGGCTCCAGGAGCCCATCGGGAGCTCCTCTTGCTGGCCCATCGTGAGGCTGGTGGGAAGGAGATGAAGCTCCACGTTGCTGCGTGTCCCCACCGAGCCCGTGTTACCCGATGCAGCAGCGACGGGCAGGCAGCACCTGAAACCAGCCAGCCTTGCAAGGGGATTCACCTGAATAACTCTCTTTTTTTCTTCTTTTTATTTCCCCCTCTCTTTGAAAGGAAAAAAATTAGCAGAAGAGGGGGGAAAAGAAAGCAAAAACTGGGGTCAACGCGAAGCGGCAGCACTTGGGCTGTCCTTGGAGAGCCTGTCTACATGCACGCTGTGGGTGTTCTCCGCGCAAACGCCGGAGCGGGAGACGTTTTCCCTTAGTAGGGCAGGCTCCGCGCCTGGCCATAAAAGGGCAGCTCCTCGGTGCGACCCCCGGGTCCTCCCCGCCGGCGGCTTGGCGCGAGAAGCGGCTCCGCATCCCGGAGCTGCTGCTCTGAACCTCGCGATCTTCGCCTCAACGTTTCTTTGGCTCGTTCCTTTTGTTCTTTTTCTGCGCCTTTTGTTTTGTCTCTTCCCTTCTCCTCCTCTCGGGAGGTTAAAGGGAGAGAGGCCAGAGAGCCTCCAGG